TAGCCCAGACCTCTCTTTGAAACAAGTTATTTTTCCTCATTCCAAGATTTCTACTTGGGTTTTCCCCAGATTCTGAAAGTCACTATGTCCCAATAAAACTGCCATCCTGTCACCAACAGAGCCAGACTCAAGTCCAGCAAGGAGCCACCCAACCAATGGGGTGGCTGTTATAGCCATGCTAACTGTTGTCTCTATCACGTCAAAGTCACCTGTGGGCACTAGTAACTAACTAGTTTCAATAAACCCACATCCAAGGTCCTGCTGCCACGCCCCATTTTCAGGAAAAGCCAGTGGTACGTCAACGTGAGCAGCAGGTCAGAACCCAAAACTGCAATGGGGGGAGCGTGGCCAGACACCCAGGGCAAGCACCAGAAACTGCCCGGATCTCCTCTGACACATGGAAGCATGTTTACTGAAGTGAAACACTTGGCTGGCCTTCTCTTGAGTAGACGGAGATTTTAGAGAAACGAGAATTTCTTATGAATGAGGATCCGGGGAATGATGCGGAGGCGTGGCCTGACTCAAATGTCCACCTGTGGCCGCCCCACCTCCTGCCCTTCTGACTATCACTCTCCACCTGCTTTGGTTTTATTTGAAAACGGAAGGAAACAGGGGCAGCCTTGCAGGGCCGTGTGCAGAATGGCCAGAAGAAATCATTCTAATCAGTTTCATTACCAAGAAGGGCCCCATGTGAATGCCAGCAGCTTCTTATCCAGAGTGAAGAGGGACAGTTGGGCAGCCCTGGGCAGAGCCAGGATGAGGCACTCACCTCGGGTACAAGATTTAAGGAGATGCAAAAAAATAATTTAATGCAATATTTTTAAAAATCAAAATTAATTAAAACATTCATAATGAACAAACTATCACATATTTTAAAAAGACAGGATCCAGCCCTGCCCTCGGCCAACCCCTTCGAGCTCAGGGCATTCTCCACAAAGTCAACAAGTTAAACAAACACCACTTCCAGGCCAAAGCTTCTGCAGCTTCTACTCTAATGCAAGTGATGTAGCGGCTCCGAGCACAGAGCCTGGAGCCGGACCGCTCAGGTATGAACGTAATGGGCTTAGACTAAGTGACAAAACCCACCCCTGCCTCAGCGTCCTCATTTGTCACATGGGGGTGATAACAGGATGTCCTCCTGGGTCACTTCTAGGATTAGTCAGTGCTCAGCAAAGGTCACTGTTGGGATGGGGACAGGCATTATCGGTGCCTACATCAAAGCCTTTTGTCCATGGATGGTACTGAGGAGGGATCAAAGAAGTGACTTGCCCATGGTCCCATTGTCAGAAGCTACCCCAGGAGTGTGGACAGCCTGGGCTTTGCTGCCCAGCACATCACCAGCAATGCACACAGGCAGCTGAGCTCACACCAGGGCTCATTTAGGGCTGAGGACGGAGATGGGCTTGGCACACAGCTCTGCCAGGTCACTCCGGCTGATGGAGGCCTTACCACCTGGGAAGGGCTCTCGGAGAGGTGGGCTTTTAGGTGAGGGGCTGAGCGAAAGGTGGCCTTGGGCAGGCCGAGAGGACTGGGGGCTGTGGGGAGTGCCAGGGTCTCCAGGGACAGGTGAAGCCCCTCCACTCTGCCGGCTGTGCTGTCTCCCAGTTTGGGTCAGGCTCCAGCATGACACTCCAGCCTGGCCTCACAGATCCTCTGCACCCTGACACCCTGCTGGTTAGCAACACAGGCCTGCCCACTGGCATAGCCACCAGGCAGAGGCTCTGCCGGCTGTGCTGTCTCCCAGTTTGGGTCAGGCTCCAGCATGACACTCCAGCCTGGCCTCACAGATCCTCTACACCCTGACACCCTGCTGGTTAGCAACACAGGCCTGCCCACTGGCATAGCCACCAGGCAGAGGGGGCAGTGGGACTGGGATGGGAGTCATGGGGCAGGGGTCCAGGCCCAGCTTGATCACTGTGGTGTCTTAGCCGAGTTATTTCTCCTTGCTGAGACTCAGTTTCTCCTCATCAACATGTCCTGATGATCTCAGTTCCACGCTCTGTCCTTTATTCATTGATGACAGAAGAGGCACAGGACAGAGAGTCACTGAACAGCTGGAGAGGCCCCCAAGTGACCGAGAATATGTGGGTTGTGTGTGGTGAGGGGCAGGGGGTGGGGAGGGGAGCTGCCTGTGCATCCTGTTCAGGGACCAGATGACAAATCTGCAGATGACCAGTCTGCAGAAAACCAGATGACAAGGCAGGGATTCCCTATGACCTCAGCAGCACCAGGGCTAGCAATGGCCACACAGGGCCCCAGCTCTCAAGGTATCCACATCCATCCTCACCCACACCCCACCCACCCTGTAGAGATATGTGGTATCCTTGGTGTTCTGCTTTGTAAGGACCCACACCGGACACCCTGCGCACAGCTGCCACATTGAAGGGGAACAGCTGGAGCATGAGAAAACTGCTGGGTTGCTGCTGTTTTGGCTGCTACATAAACACTTTGAGTGACTCTTTTCATTCCTGACTTTCTGTTGAGTGATTTGCAAACAGGTAGGAGTCTCAGGATGAGAGATGTAGCCCTTGGAGCCAAGATACCAAGAAGCTATTCTAGGGGAAAGCTGTTCTGGAACACGAAGTTATGTGGAAAGACCCAAAGGGGTAGGTCAGAGGGAAGCCCGGGACTCAGTGCTTTCTACAGAGAAACTGGGACCTGGAGACAGACTTGCTTTGAAAAAATTAAAGATTAAAGCTCCTTCCCCTTTTTTGTCAGCATCTGTGACTATTCCCATTTCCAGATTATAAGCTTCAGGTGCAGAAATGTGACTCTTTGCCATCTACCTAATGGGCTGTGGCATTCAGGCCCTCCAGTTGGGGAAGCCTCTAAACCAGATGACACAGATAGAATAGCAATGTCTCCTGCGTGGCTGTAAATGAACTGTTTTCCTTTTCATTCAAAAGTCAGTTTCTCACTATGTATCAGCAGGTCCAAACACCCTTGCCCCTGTGTCAGCGAGGAACTGGCCTCGACCCGGAGCTCCAGGAAAAAGTAACAAAGCCGTTTTTATTCCAAATGTGTGCGGGGCAGGGCTAGGCCTTGCTTCCTTCTTCCCCACCACTTCCCACTGACCAGGAGAGCTCACAAGTGAAACCAAACTGAAAGGGGGGCCGGGGAGACAGAGGTTACAGTGACACGGACACTGTGCACATTACCCCGAGTTGAGACAGTTGGTCAGAAGGACTGAGTTGAACACCAGCATGACCATTAGGAGAATGAAGATTGGAACACCATATCAGGACACTCCTACTAGAATGTCTTCAACAAACAAACAAAAATTGATAATAGCAAGTACTGGCACAGAGGCATAGTGACCACACCTCTCACCCTGGCTACTGGCAATGCAAGATGGTACTGCCACTGTGGAAGACAGCTGGGCATTTTCTGGGAAAGTTTGGCATCTACCCAGCAATT